TCTACAGAAAACAGAAAGATGATTTCATGAACAGCATAGGTGATGTTGGTGTCAAGTCAGCTGCAGAAGTGCCTCCTGCTTGGGGTCCCCAGAGAGAGCAGAGTCACCTACCTTGGAGTTCAGGAGCTCACTGAGGCGAGGAGGCTGTTTGCAGAGCAGGTGGGGAGGAGCATGTTTGCAGAGCTGATGAAGTCCAGTCCCCTGCAGATGTTTGCCATGAGGCCTTTGTTGGATGGAGGCATTTGTTGGATAGGAGGTCAACGGAGCTCCAAAGCTCAAATAACAGACATGTTCAGCTGGACAGAGATTAAGGGGGAAACGTATTGAAGGAAAATCCAGTAGCACAATAGTATACATTTATCATCCTTAATGATGAGTCTGATTTGTATCAGCCACACCCAGGCCTGAAAAATCCACCAAAAAGGGGAGAATTGAACCCTGAATCATTACAGCATTCACCCCAATACCTTATGTACAGTCCCCTAAACCATCGGTTTCAACATTTGAATGCTAATACTACTAATAATAGCTCAATTATTTTACATTTTTGTATGTTAGGTGTCTAACACTTTTAATTGCTCAAAGTAAACCATGATGCTATGAAGTCATGGGAAAATTTTTTAATGTATACTTAAAAAAATAAGGAATTACACAGTTACATTGCTGATGTTTGGTTTGCGATCAGTTTGGTCCTCACACATTTTGTTCTGTATGGTTTTAGAACCCATTCTTTAATGTATGTACGTCCCTGACACACATATTGATATTTTACATTGCTCTCTTGCATGGATTATTCTCATATTTGTTTCAAATTATCAGCACCAATTTGAATGCTGGTTTTCTATCTTGAAATTCTTATCATCTACCTTATTTATTGGGACCTAGAAGAAGCTTCAATCATGTATTTGGGATGATACTTTTGAAAAGCCACTCATCAAAGTCAAAACTTTGGTGTGGGTTTCCTGTGTATTTCTGCTGTGTATCATAGTAAATTCAGTGTAGTGAGAAGTTGTGTAAATGAACATGACATGCCAATTTGTAATAATTTTGGTCAATATAATACTGTATATTCCAATGATTAGGTCCTATTGTAATTCCATCTCTCTACCTTTAGCAGATATTTCCCTTAGTTTTAGACATCTCATAATTTTTTCTAAGTTTTTAGAACATATTAGATAATTCAGTAGTATGCATCTTTGAAGTTTTAAACTTGGTCCAACAGCCATGGTGGATATAAGCATAGAATCTGGAGACAGATTGAACCCAAGGGTTAACTTCCCATCCCACCAGGTCTCAGCCAAACCTCACCATGTGGTTTCATCTCTCTGTGCCTCAGTTTCCCATCTGAAAGTGAGAATGATGTTTACCCTCTACTCAGTTGTTGGAGGAAACATGGGTCCACACCGTTCACACAGACTGACGACAGTACTCACCTGCAAGGAGCTGGCTGGCCAGGGCAAGAGCCTTTGCTCACTGCCCTAGGTCCAGTCCCTTAGTCTGATATTGTGGATTTCAGCCTTGGTAATGGTGATGATAGCACCTCCTTTATTTAACATTTTCTCTGATCTCCCTCATTTCAACCAGGATTCCATGGGGCCATGGTTCTCTTGACAACTTTGGCACTGTGGTGTGGAGAGCTCTGTTACTTTGTTCCATGCCAAGGACTATCCAAGGCTGGGATCTAAACTCAGTTCTCTAACTCAGAAGCTGAGCTGTACATGAGTTGATGACATTTCCCTGAAAAGGGCCGAAGTCCAAGACAGACAAGAACCTAATAACTTTCTGAAACTCGGCTCCACCCTCTCTTTTTTCTCATACTGAGATTTGCCTTCCTGGTTCCTTTTAATTGAACTTCACACCCTATTTCACATTTTTATACTTTTATTTTATTTATTTATTTTTATGTGGTGCTGAGGATAGAACCCAGTGCCTCACACATGCTAGGCAAGTGCTCTACCACTGAGCCCTAACCCCAGCCCCTATTTTCATGTTTTGATCCCTCTTCTGTTCTTCAGTTTGGGGCCTGCTCTTTGGTAGGGTTTGTCTTAAACTCCTTCTGTCATGTTATATAGTCTCTGAATTTATGGTCCTTTGAGTGTTCGTGTGCTGGCACTCAGATTGTTCCATCACTGTTCCTCTTAACACACACACACACACACACACACACACACACACACACACACACACACCAGTAACAAGTTTCTTTAGACTTCAGTGTTATTTCCTGGTCTTTACCACTCTGTCCTCCTTTCCTGTTAACCATTGTGGATAATGTATTAGTAATGAATACTTCTGTAAAGATGAGGGCTTTTTTTCTGAAAACCATTTTCAGCAAGATTGAACATTAATATTTAGTTTCCTGAACCAAAAAAAAAATCCACTTCTCTGAAAAAAAAAATCAGGTGTGCTTAGTTTTCTCCTTTTGCCCTTGGTTTTCTGGCCAACTTATCACAACTGTTTTTAAAAATATTTTTAATTGTAGGTAGACATAGTACCTTTATTTTATTTATTGATTTTTATGTGGTGCTGAGGATCAAACCCAGTGCCTCACATGTGTTAGGCAAGTGCTGTACCGCTGAGCTACATCTCTGCCCTACACAACTCTAATAGAAAGTTTACATCTATTCTGTTTACATCTATTCATTTGCCTAGATTTTAGATTATAGCCATAACATAAAGCACGTTGTATAAAATTGTTAAAATGTGAATTTTAATTAGACATCTTAGTAGTATTTTTGGAGAAATTATAAATACTTAAGAAATTGCTTAGAAACATAAAGCAGATTTTCTGATTATGCATGTGATATAAATTAATCTGATCTAATTGTTTTCGAAACTTATATATCAGAACAGCCCTCACCATTTCAAAGTACTTCTCTTATGCATATATTCACTTTCATTTAGAAAACTTTTCTTAAATATATTTTTAATTTTTATTGTGTCACTTTATCATGTAACCTAATTTTTGATTATTATAAGATCGAGTATTGAAAGACACTTTTTTAAATTAATTTTTTGTTTTAATTAGAATTTGTTTTAATTAAAATTTGTTTTAATTTTGTTTTAATTAGTTATACATGAGAGTAGAATGCATTTATGTACTTTGATATATCATACATAGATGGGATATTATTTCTCATTTTTTTGAGTGTACATGTTATAAAATCATATTGGTCATATAGTCACATATAAACATACATAAAGTAATAATGTCTGTTTCATTCTACTATCTTTCCTATCCTCCCCTCCCCTCCCCTCCCCTCCCCTCCCTTCACTTCCCTCTGCCTAATCTATCGCAACACTCTTCTTCTCTAGTTTCCCCCCACCAGCACCTTATTGTGAATTAGCATTCACATAATAGAGAAAACACATGTCCTTTGGTTTTGTGGGATTGGCTTATTTCGCTTAGCATAATATTCTCCAACTCCATCCATTTACTGGTAAATGCCATAATTTCTCTCTTCTTAAAAGCTGGGTAAGATTCCACTGAGTATATATACCACATTTTCTGTATCCGTTCTTCTATTGAAGGACACCTACATTGGTTCCATAGTTTGGCTATTGTGAATTGAGCTGCTATAAACATTGACGTGGCTGTGTTACTGTAGTATGCTGATCTGCTGGTGGGACTGCAAATTGGTGCAACCACTATGGAAAGCAGCCTGGAGATTCCCTATAAAACTTGGAATGGAACCACCATTTGACCCAGCTATCCCACTCCTCAGTTTATTCCCAAAGGGCTGAAAGTAACCTTTAAAAGAGATTGAGGAGGACTTGGGATGTAGCTAAGCAGTAGAGTGTTTGCCCAGCCTTAGCCTCTTTTAATAGTTACTTTCTCAACGCGACGTGTGTGTTTTGTGTATGTATGGATATATATATTGCCTAATGTGAGACAGGATAAAATAAGCTCTGAGGTGTGCTCAAGAAGTCAGAGTTGTCGAGTGGGATTCATAACTAGAATCTAATTCCACTTAGAGGGTTGTGGTACCAAGGTCACATTTAGACACTGGCTATAATCTGAGGATATTCTGATTCGTAGTGCCGTAAAGCATGTGTGCTGATACTGATCACAGGTGTCAGCTGTTGGAGCAGTAAATCACTGTCACATTGTATTGGTCTGAAAGGTGGTATTTTCATTATATATATATATATAAATTAAACTTTAGAGGTTAAAAATGTTGAGAACCAGATAAAAATAATCACATAAACGATCTAAAAAGAGCTTAGGAAGCAAACTAAAAAATGAGATTCCGTTTGGCAATCATCAAACTGACTTTAGTAGCTGGTGTAAAGTCCTCTTCTGAAAAGCTGAGTCTGCCCATCATTCTGTCTGCCTTGTGGTTGGGGTGATGTCCCCCATGTCTGCACTCCTACCTTACACCATAGGCATTTGTCCCTACACAGCTCTACTTGAGAAAGAAGCCTGCAAACATCTGTAGGAGTTACTTGACAGAAACTAGCGCAGCCCTGCACAGTGCTGCACATAGTGCTTACGGAAAAGCAAGGCTACCTCTCCCCCCAGCACCCTACTCACACATTCTCCTCTTTCCCTTATTTTCCTCTCTTTGGGAAAATTAATTCATTTCTGAATTTGTCCCAAGCCCTTAATGATACTAATGCAAGGTGACCTGAGTGACCTTGTCCCGAATGACCTCAATTCAGCAGTGAGGCCGTAGCTGTCCTTCCTCACAGTGTTCCCTAGACTTTTGCTTAGCTCACATTTCAGTTGGATGCTCCTACCCTTGGATGTGGGTTAGCAATATTCACATGACAGGTGGATCCCTGCCCCGTTCCTGTAGGGTGTGTTTCTGAAGTAGCATGCTGATTACATTTGACTGGATAATATTGAATATGTGGTTCAGATATGACAGATTAACTATTTTTATTCTTTCGAACCCCTATTTTTTATGTGTGTAATGTTCCCCCCTGCCTAGACCTGGTTAACCGTTTCTGTGAGCAGGTCCTCAATTTTTTACTTTGTCCCTACTTTCCTGTCCTAGCCCCATCCTCCCCCGGTGTCGACTCCGTCCCCTTGCAGCGCACAGGCAGTCAGCACGGGCCACAGAGTGCCACAGCAGCCACCTTCCAGAGGGCCAGCTACGCCGCAGGCCCAGCCGCCAACTACGCAGACCCCTACCGACAGCTGCAGTATTGTCCCTCTGTTGAGTCTCCTTACAGCAAATCCGGCCCTGCCCTCCCGCCCGAAGGCACCTTGGCCAGGTCCCCGTCCATCGACAGCATTCAGAAAGACCCCAGGTGGGTAAAACCCTTTTTCTCATACCTGTGATGTCGGAAACGGTTTTATAACTGGGTGTTGATTCAACCGTGTTATAATATTTTTACGTCACTTCGGCATTAACGTCACTGGCTCTAAGTATGAGACAGTTGGCTTTACTTGGATTTTGTACTTTATTTATTATGGAACATGGGAATTTACAGTGGATTCCTAGGACGTTGTGATTCCATATCATGAAATGATGGTCGATCTTTGAGCTGTGTGCAGTGGTGCACCCATGTAGTCCCATCGACTCGAGTGGCTGAGGCAGGAGGATCACTTGAGCCCAGGAGTTTGAGACCAGTCTGGGCAATGTAGCAAGACCCTATCTTAAAACAAAACACAAATGGAGATCTCTTGGCAGGAACAGCTTTAGGGGCTTGAGGTTTCAGCCATTTGATGATCAACAGAAGCTCCTGGTGATGCAGTAGAAACTGAGGCTTGGAGAGCAGAGGTTGTGTCACTTGGCTTCCAGTGCTGTGGTCTAAGAGGTGTGCTTTTGTCTCCGTGGAAGCATCCTTTGTCACCTTTTGTCTTTCCACTTATCACTGTGTCAAGACAGCTCCTCCCAAGTTATTGTAAAAATTATAAATTTGGAAATTCCCTATGAACATCATTGGTCTATGAGAATAAATGCTAGGATGAACTAATTTGGGGATTAACAAAAACTTGGAACACAGTATATTAAAGAAATTGTTGTTATGAAGTGTGTCTCTTTTTTACTTTGTTTTTTCCAACAGTGGCAAAGGATTTAGTGATGCTTTACTTTTGAGGTTCCAATTGACTCCCTGTAGAGTTAAATGATGTTTTATTCATAGCCATTGGCTTTATGCAGATAGAGTCTCGTAAATACATATCTGCATCTGCAAGAACTACAGAAATGTCAAATTTCTGGAATATCTTTATGGAAGGGCATGTAGCTTGACTCTGGTGGGAAACTTAAATTTTGTCTTAAGGAATTTTTACCTACAGTGAACACAGATTTCTGTGTACTAAGTTGAGAAGTTTGCGTACATTCCTTAGCAAGAAGAAATCAATTTTACAAACATAAAAAGCAGAACGTTATCGTTTATGTGTTCTCTGAGATAGATACTTTAGATCAAACCCACTTGTAGTATCCTTGCTAAATACCATACTTGGTCTAGCCTCCATTGTAAAATTCAATTGTAATAAATGCTTACTTTTAAGGACTACAAACCAGAAATATACTTGCATCGACAATGCTCACTGTCCTGGTTTTCTAGATTTTCAGTGTCAGTAACGGTCTCTGTAGTCTTGGTCCTGAAATCTGCCCTAAATGTTTAAGTATTCTTAATTATGTTTCATTAGAATATTCTTTGAAAAATACTTCTGCACTCTCTATTTTCACATAATTTTTTCTCAATATGCAACTGAAAATATGTGGAAATACAACAATAGTAAGCCATTAAGAAGTCTGAAACAGAAAAATATATTCTTGAATTGTCTGGCTTGTATTTAACATTGTATATGTCAATGGAGAATAAACATTTTATCTCTAATTAAAAAGCTTTGCATTTTCATATTAAGAAAATTTGGATTATGAGAGACAAAATTTTATTTCTCTAGCTGCAAGTTTGCGTCTGTGTTTTATACTGTGTATTAAATGCATTTTATTTTATTAAATGGCATATCCTTTTTATTTTATATTACTGTCACTTTTATAGGCTTTTTTCTTCTTTCGCTGTATTGGCATGGCTCTTACCTTTTCGAGTTATGGATTATGTCACTTATATTTATCGAGTGCCTGCTATAAACCAGAAACAGTAACACCAACAAGAAATGTTAGAGTGAATCTGAGAATCTTTTGTGTGTGTTAAGTTTATATGCAAATCAGTGCTACAAGAATTACAAGTTCAACATTATTTTTAAGAATGCTAAATGTTGGCCTTAAAAATGTATGAATTCTGAAAGACACATACCACCATCCTAAGCTTAGGCATTCAGACAAAATAGAGCCACATCTGGAGCTGCAATTGGATTGTTGTGGCTCAATAGAGAAGTGAATAAATCTGACTTTATACAAAACGGAGCATAAAGTACAATAATGTCTTGTAGTTTTGAATTTTTTTTAAACAAAGGAACATGTCAAAATTTTCTTAGTGGAAACACATACCAAATCTAATGTTCAAATCTGAAATATAATTCTTTTTTTAATAAAATTGTTGTGCATTTTCCCTTTAAAATGAATTTTTATTCTTCATAAGCAAATATTGCCTGAACTTCTAAGACTTGAAATTATTTACGTTTACTTACTTTGCATGATGACTTATGATTTACATTTTTTCAGCCTTTTGACTTTTTTTACACATTTATACATACATGTACCTGGGAGAATGTGTTAGAAGTTTGACATGTCACGAAACACCAAGCCACGTAAGCTTCTTTACCATTACAAACATAGGTTTATAACAGTCTGTTTTCTTACCTCTTTGAGGTACTCCTCCTTTGTGAGAGGAAACTGGTGTCCCCCATGCTGTCCCTTGAATAAGAGGGGTGATGTGTCTTTGGGGTGGTCACCTTGAAGCTGGGGGGGCACAGGGGCCAGTCGCTCCACTCCGCAGCCTGTGTTGGCATGAGTGTTTTGTTTCTTTACCAAAACTAAAAGGGAAAAGGGAAACGCTATATTAAGGTCTGTTGTGATTTTCTGAGGAGGGATGAATGGCAGAGCCGGGTGTGTGGGTGAGAAGCTGGGAAGAGTGAGCAGCACTAAGGCCTCCCTAGATGCGTGTCTCTGCTGGGTTGTTTAGTTCTTTTCCAGTGCACGGCTTGTCTGTCTTATTAAAGACCCGTATCTTTTCTCTATTAAGGGGCTATATGTTATTCAGGCAGAAGTTTTCAAGTAAATTTGGCATTTTAAAATAAGAATTTGGAGTCAGGAGAGCCTCTGTTCATTTGTTGGACTTTAAGCCAAAGACCACCTGTCAGCTTTGAGTTAGTCTGAGTCACAGGATGGAAGGATCATTGCAAGGTTGGATTTTTTTTGTTGATGGTGGGCTCATGAGGATTTGAGGCAGAACTTTGGTCTTTTGTGCTTTTAACTGCCCCTATCATAAACACCAACAAAGAGGGCACAGAAATATTTTACCAAAGGGGTGGTAAAATCCAGCTTCTCTTTTAAAGTTGGCATTCACTGGGAAAATAGTTTTTTATACATATAAAATTAACTTTACAGGTGTGTTTTGTTTTTAAGAGGCCTTTATTTTGTAATGGCATGCCATCTTGCATCAAACATGACTTTCCTAAGGACGGTTAACATAGCAAATACATTTTTGGATGTGTGCCCAATATCGAGTCCTATTTGTTCCTATTTCTGAACATGTGAGTCAAATACAAATTCTGAGTTAAATTATATGGAAGAGGTATCAGTGACATCAGGAGTGGTGAGTCATAATAACATTCTTATTTTGAAATTCTAATTAATGAAATAACTAGAACAACATAAAGCAAGACTGATATTCAAAGATACTTTGGATGTAATAACTGTTCTTGTTTACAAAAGAAGAAAAGTGTTGGCCAAGACAGTTCACCAATATAATGTATAAATTATAGCAATCACAGCATACTTTTATTATGTTTGATAAATCCCTTTTCAGGGTGATGTATGTCTTGATGGATGTACACTATCTCAAAAGCAATTTTCAAACATACCACAAGAAATCTCAATTGATGCAAATGTGATTTACAATAAAATTTTTCTTTTTGTTATTCATCATACCAGAAAAAATGCATACAATGGCATATTTTTAATACAGCTATTGGACCCAAATTAGCAACTGCATTTTCAATTGGCTTTTCAAATTTATTCTCCATGGAGTTGTTTAAGCCACAGAGTTGATCCATAATATAAAAGAAGGAACTTCTAAAGAATTATATGTATATTCCTACTTTATTTCCTATTTTGAGGTGTTACTGAAAGTTATTTTGACATTATATTATTGGATCTCAATTAATAATATCACTTCTAAATATTATATTATTATGTAAACCTCAATAGGAAAAATGATTTTTAAATACTGTTTTATTTTATATTTTAACAGTTTACAGCTCACACATACCTAATATGTAGTGAACTGAATGTTTAGGAAGCAAAATATGGTTTTATATGCTTTTTGAAAGGTGAAGGTTGAAAAATAGTTTTTAAATGTTAAGGTTTAAACACCATTGCTATGCAATTGAAGTTATCATGTAGCTTCAGTAACTTTGCTGAAGTGTTTGCTGTAAAACACAAATAATATTCTTCATAGTCCAGTTCACGTGGGTGATGAGTCTCCGGGGAGTTTGCTTTTAACTTCAGATGTGCAATACTCGTTTATGTAACTGGAATGTCAGAGGGAAGCACAGGATTCACAGTGACAAGAAAGAACCTCTGAGCTTGCAGAGCACTAGGAAGGCACTTACTCCCTGGGCCCAGAGCAAGCCCACCACCCTGTGTGCGTGCTGCTGGCAGGTGGCCACACGCTTCCTGGAAGTAACATAAACTGGCCACTCACCTCCTCTTGATTAAGTTTACTAATTTTCTTTGAGTTGTTCAGATCTCCAACACTATTTTATATCGATCCAAAATCTGCATCTTTTATAAGCTTATCCCTGATCATCTCTGCCCTTTGAAGTCACACGAGAATGCGCCTCTTCCTTCTCTAGGGATGAACTTTGTTGACGGTTACGGAAGGTCCCACCAGTGGCCAGGACTCCTGTCCCTGTCCCCCTGTGCAAGCTCCCCTCCTCCCAGTAGCTCTCAGGTCACCCTGCAGGGGCCGTCTCCTCCCAGGTCTGTCTCACACCTCACCAGCAAGTACAGAAAGAGAATGAATGTTAGCAGGGGCCAACCCAAGGTGCGTTTTCTTGAAAGTAAGATGACAATAATGTCTCTAACTGATCATGGGAACAATGGCAATTAAAATCAATGAGTTTTACAGCCACTCTCAGGGTCAAACTTTTCATATTAATTATTTAATTTCCT